ACTCAATCATTGCATTCACTAGAGAAACTTACTTGATCAATCTAAAGACTCCAGACTTACAGTATTCAAGCAAAGCCTAAAAAACAAAGTAATAAGATCGATTTTTATCGATAATAAAATCGATCAAAATGATAAGCTTACGAAAGTAAATATCAATCTTCAAGATTACGAACTCGGACAGACGGACATGGCTATATAGATACAGCTTGACGAGGTCCGCTACACCCCCTTCCTCCTGTTACATAAATTTTCACAAAACCATTATACCCTCAAATCTCAGGGCATAGAACAAACATCGTCGAGCACATCAAAATCTGCAATCAGCGTCAATATTCAAATTGTGAACTTAATTCTGGGAAGCTGTTATAATAATTCGCTGGAAAATTGTCTTTCCCATGAAGCTTTGATTCACACCATTTTTATTAGCTTTGTAAGTAACTGAGCGCAGAATGTGAAAAATGTTTGCAAAATACTTTTCAGAGTGGTAAACGAAGCAGAATCATTTGGAGCCATTCATGAATGTCTAATCATCACGGGTCAATGTGGAATATAATAATTTCATTTCACTTGTCATTACTTAACCGAAGTGGAGCCACAGTTTTATGGATGCGCGTTTTATGGAAGCCGCTTGTGGTCATTTGTAATGCGGCTCTCGGCAGTCAGCAGTCAGCGCAATTGCTGCATAATTACAATTTTAGTTCGTGTTGCAGCAGTGGCATTTATGTTGCCGTGGCAGCGGCCACAATTTTCTTTGCTATTTCATTAAGCTGGTCTTTGGTTTTGCGAGCACACACGCCACAATCGCACAACTCAACATGCGGCATTACTAGATATATGTATATATGCCACATTCTGTTGCAGTTGCAGACAGCAAACTATTAAAGGCCACTTCGGAGCGAAACCGCAGGCGGTCCAAATTCTCCCCAGCAGAAAGCCCTTTCCGAACGTCTGTCAGCCTGCACTGCCGTCGGACTATCTGTCTGTCTGCTCTGCTACCTGGCTGATTGCTTAAAATTTCAGCTACGTGCGCGGTCTACGTGTGTGCCACACCTGCCTGACTCGCAGTTGGAATCTCACACACACACGTACAGACAGAGTCAGAGACAGAAACAATGGGCAACTGGCGACCTACGTAATTTAATGTTTTATTTCTACACAGTTGGCCGCGCTGGCGTATACGTAATAACAGTCGGCACATGTCGAGCACGCGATGCCAACGTGCTGCGGCCTTCTAACCTGATGACGTTAACGGCAACACTAGCTCCCAAACAAGTTCTGCAAAATAGAGCTGAGCACGTGATTTAGGATCGTGCTGCACTATTTCAGCTTAACAATTCATTCTAAATGGAAAAATAACAAAAAGTAAAATGTATTCAAAACTTTTTTATTTAGAAATAAAGTATTATATTAACTATGAAATTTTATTAAATTAATATGCCATTTTTTGACTACTTTTTATATATATATTATATATATTTTTATTGTTTTTAATGTGCTTTATTTCACTGAACATAGCAGATTCCTAGCTAGCCTAAGCTCCACATTCTTGAATAAATATTAAAATTGCTAATTTGCTTTTAAAATTTTACATATATACTTTTAAATTTTATAAAATTAAATCTATACAAAATAATTCTTAAAATATATATATAAATTATTTAAAAATCTTTCCAACAAAACTGAACTTCGTTACTTTATGGAAATATAGATTACAAATTATTTCCGCATTGCTGCTGCTGTTGCTGCTGGCAAAACTTTTTTATTGTTAATAAAACTTATTTTTCAAAAAGGAAAATCCACTCGAATTTTTAGCTAGCAACTGTCCGGCCTTCCGTTAGAATTCGTTGTGTAAAGTAAGTTGATATGCCGGGCTTAAAACCTTTTGGCTCTTTGTTACCTTGCTGACTTGATAGTTCATGATGCTGTCACGTGGCCAGCTCAAACATTGTTAGAAAACTTTGGCAGACAAAAGTCAAAGTCCAAATTGGAGTTTTGTCGTCATCGTTGCTCGAAGTGTTTCCACACCTCCCGTGCACAATTAGAGTAATTAGTGGAACGTTCTTGTTGTTGTTGTTGTTGTTGTTGTTGTTGTTGTTGCTGCTGCTGCGGGTACTACGATTGTTGTTCTTGTCGTGGTTGTTGTTGTAGCAGTGGTTGCCTTTGTTGTTGCTCTCAGCACACATAACATGCAAAGCCATTTTCATGTTTCACATGCACAAGTATTAAACCGCCAACACAATCAGTCGTTCATTTATTTTAGTACACCCTGTACTTGTGCCATTTGTTCAAAGCGGTTGAATGCAAGTGGGACTAAAATGCATATGCATAATTTGTGAGTTTTCTTTGCGTATCTGTAGATAGATAATAAAATATAAAGAAGCTAAATACAAAGATCAATCAAGCACATCCAAAGCATCCAGACAAGGTGTCAATCTGGGCCACAGATGCGCTTAAATTCAAAATATCAAGTCTCTAGCTACAATAGCACCTATATCTACGTACAGCAAATCAAATTTCTACACAACGTATAACAATCTATCTTATCACTTACGCTTTGCAGGGTATCTCTCAGTCCAGCGCTCTCTGCCGCAGCATATTTTGTTTTATTTATTTTTGTTGTCGTCGCGTGTTTATCATCATCATTGTTGCCGTCGCCGTAGTCGCTTGTTATTGTTGATTTAACTTGTGACATCGAATCAGAGCTTGGCCCACATTTGACCCTAGCTAAGGTTTCGGGTGCTGTTATGCATTAAATTTGCAATAATCAAATATGTTGCTTGTCGCACAATCAGAATATTTAATTAGTTCATTTATTTGTGGAATTTCGATCCGACAGTTGATTTGCATTTACCTACCCATGGGAAATTTTTGGTCGCACTCAGTCTATGCGACACCAAAACCAATTAATAGATACGCAATGATTAACAATAAGCGGCGACTTAACAAAATGCTATAATTTCTTATTTTGTAATTTAATGGATAAGCGGACGCTTAAATCAAACCAAATTCCAGCTAAATAAATTAAAGACTTAATGGTAAAGTTGGCAGATAGATTACGAATTGCAGCCTTTGCAATATCAATTAAAATCATTTCATAGCCATTGCACACGCACACAGACAAACACACAGACAGACAGACAAGTAAGTTCTACTTATTTTCACACCTAATTTACTTAAGAAACGCATTAAACCAAATTCGTCTTTTGAAACGTCTCAATTTTTAGTCGAACCAAAAGGACCAACTGCTGCACTGTGGATCTAATTAGAAACACAAAAGCAGCTTCTGTAATGGCAATGAGGCGATGCGATGAGATGAGATGAGCCTTTCCCGCATCTAAGCGCATTAAGTATGCGCCTCGTGCGCCAATTAAGTTGAGTCAGCCCGGCTACGTTGGATGCCGCCCGGTTAGCTTCACATTTTTTCATCAAGCCGCTTACAATGCAATTAACCTTTTCGCCACGCAGTCGCTTACCGTTCGTAAGTTGCTTAATTAGTGTGGATTTCAAGTACCAAGTACGAAGTTCATCTTAAGCCACAAAGAGCATTGAATAAAATTCTCTAAAACATCTTTCGATGTGCAAGCAAAATAATAATGATGTAAAAAGTGACCACGACTTCGTGTGCTTTTTCAATTAATACTTAGCTGGAATTATTAATGAAGTAGTTTCAGTTCGCTTCGGTCGATTGAAATCTAGATGCGAGCAGCTTGCATTGCCAGTTGCATGACTCTCTTTAGGGGAGTCTCTGTAGCTATTTATCCTGACTAACTAATGAGCTAAGTATTTATATAAAATATTGTTTAAGCGTAATTAAACGTTTACAAAAATCAACTTCAATTGAAATGTGCACTCAACGTGTATTTGAAGAGTGCTTAAAATGGGTAAATGAAATCTTGGTTAGCTTGACTTGACTTGATACTATTTAACTCTTAAATAAATAGTTAAATAGTTAACTCTTATACTCAGTTATGTTCGTATCAGAATATGTATGTACAAATTTATATATGCATATGTAAATGTAACGTATGTATGTATTTTATACATATATCTATGAATATATTTACAAATGTATATATAGTATTCCTCCAAATTACTTAAGTATATGTAATAAAGAAATGTAAATTGATTATATTATGCTAATATTGTTTTTCTTGGGAATTACCAAATTCTGTGCATGACCCGAGCTAATCGGGCTATAGCATTAAATCCGCATCGGGAACCTGGCAACACACGCAGTCGAAGTGCGGTTAACGTACGATTGTTGTCTGGCTGTCATGACAGTAAACTCAGATTGAGCCTAGATGATAGCTTTAAATATTAATTTAATTGATGGTAGATTTGTGTTTCGATGATTTGAACTAAAGTCAATTGCAATTAGTAAATTCGAATATAAAGACATTTGGCAAAATCTTTATCTGTTTTGTGCGCCACTCAAGCAGATCATGAATTGAGCTTACTGCACTGCCAGAAGCACTTGGCTCGATTGCGAAAGTTTCTTTGCCTTAACACCGAGAAGCCATTTAATAAATTGAATTACATTTTGTCACAGCATTTTGGTAGTTCGAAGTGCATTGGTTTGAAAGCAAATAAAATAATACGAAATACATTTTATTTTTTATTATCTATTTACAGGTCTTCACTTTTAAATTAAATTTGCTTCCGTTTTTTTATAATTCATATATGTTCGAAAATCACAGTAATACTGACTACAATATCTTCATTCTAACTTTCTTTTTTATCTTATATAAGCTTATCGAAAATCACAGTAGCAGTGATGACAAAATAAATTGGTTAGCTCATCACTAATTCTAGATTCGCGAATGTCCCGTTTATTTTTACATATGGTCATTTTTTTTTTTTTGTTTCTGTAAAGCAACATAAAATTTATAAAGGTATGCAGCTTACGAGTTGTTGGCATATTTTGTTTTGAACTGGATAGAAAAAAAGAGTAAAAGCCGATATTATTCTCTCATTAGAAAATTGAATACACGGTCAGAAAGAAATAAATATTAAACCCCTTTGTTTACATTTAACGTCTGATTGTTAAAAAAGGCGTTGCCACTTGGTTCGAATTTAAAAGCGTGTTATCTCAAAGCTTGCGTTCTGTAAATAAAACCTATTTTATCTCGACAACGTCAATAAAGGCTACAATGGATGATGATTACAACAGTTTGGAGGACATCAACAACAACAGCAATTATGAGGACATCGACAATAACAGCACGGACTCTTACGATACAGCTGATGATTGGGAGCGAAAGTCTGTCAAAACAAAAACTCTGCAACCGCACGAATTATTATCTCTGGAGCAGAAACTTCAGCGCATTATAGTTATTCAGCAAACAGATCAGTCCTATCATCAGGCGCTAAACGACATACGCGATCAGGCCATAATTTCGGTATTGGTGGAACCCAGTTTCTATGGCCGACATTGTAAAACATCTGTGATTGTTATTGCAACGGCGAATAATACTTATGTATTTGATCTAAAAGCACTCGGTGCAATTTTCCCCGAACTCGGTGTGCTGCTGGAGGCCGAATATCCTAGAAAGATAATGCACTATAGTCATCGAATATGTGATCTGCTGTTGCATCAGCACAAGCTAAAAGTAAATGGAATTTGTGACACGTTCGTTGCCTTGTGCGTGGCTCGACAGGATCGAAGTCATTGCACATTGCAGGATGCCATTACCTTAATTTTGGAATTGGCGCCAACTGAGCTAACCTGCAATGAGATTACTAGCGTAAGAAAAGCCTTTTCAATTTGTGGTTCGTTTCATATATATATTTTGTATATTACAGGCCAATGAATCGGTTCGCACTTTTACAGCACGTCCATTGTCTAGAAGTCAACTCCGATATCTGGCCACACTCGCCATTTTACAGCATAGACTACACGATACGCTTATCTATGGAAATATCTGCTTCGATCTGCAAGAAATGTCTGAAAAATTCAGTTGTGAATTCAATAGGCAAAAGAGATCTGATGAAGTGGCGCTAAATATGCAACCTGGTAGCAATGCAGGCTTTGACTGTATAAACCCATACTACAAAATATCTACACCCAAAGAGTAGGCGAAATTTCTTTGTATTCTTGTTAAGATGAATCAAACACATGCATATAGAACACGTTCACTATAATCTTTGATTATAGAACATTAAAAGAATTCATGTAATTAAATTTTAAATATCTAATTTACTAGCATAACATTCAATTCGTCTTGTCTTCTTTTTTATTAGTGTTGCAACGGTTCAATTTAAATCGGGCGAGTAAGTTGTATCGCCGATAGAACGATACATCGCAGACCCAACAAGCATCGATACACAAATTGGGACGGTTGTGTATCACTATTACGAACAACTGCGACCGGCCCGCACGTGTAGTGAGTCTTCACTTCCAATTAACAATTAAGTTTTAGCTATTTAAAGCAGCCCAGTTTTGCATTTAATAACATAAAAAATGGTGAGTATATTGTTATATTTGTTTTAATACCTTATAATATCTGTACTAAGCAAAACATTCTATCTGAGCTTCTCGAAGTTTCTGCATATGCTGATAACTCGCCTTGCCGGGTTGTTGTGTAACTCTGCTCTGGTGCAGGTTTTAGGTAGCGGGGGGGAATAATGTCTGACATCAATTACCGTAGATTACTTAATAATTGAAATTACTTTATATATTTAGGCAGCCGCTATCAAGAGAATCATCCCCATGCTGGATCGTATTTTGGTTCAACGCGCTGAAGCTCTAACAAAAACGAAAGGTGGCATCGTCTTGCCAGAAAAATCGGTGGGCAAAGTGCTAGAAGGCACTGTTGTTGCTGTTGGTCCCGGCACTCGCAATTCTGTAAGTATTTCATTGTGTGATGCGATGATTGCAACAGTTTTTTATTGATGTTCGACGTAAATATATTTGTTTCATAGACCACTGGCAGTCATATTCCAATTGGCGTGAAGGAGGGCGACCGCGTTTTGTTGCCTGAATTTGGCGGTACCAAGGTCCAATTGGATAACGAAGACAAGAAGGAGCTCTTCCTTTTCCGCGAGTCAGACATTTTAGCCAAATTGGAATAGATCGCGCGTAACAATTCTATGAATTCTGTTTTCTATTAGTACGTAATCCCCTACGATAAAACTCCAATGCAATGTTTATGTTTGCATTACATACAAAATAAAGCTTGAAATCTTCAGTGTTAACATATAAAAACTATATTTGTATCTAGGAACTTAAAAACTAATCCAGTTTTAGATTATTCAATCCGTAGACTTGATTAAAGGCAGACCTTCTCTTAATGTCCGGGATGCCTTCGACGGCAGCACGTTCCCGAGAAATATTGACCAAGGCCTCAAACGAGCGTGGCTCCCAAATAGCCAAATCCGACAGAGTTTTTCTATAAAATTAAGATTAAACTGTTAATAAACAGGCAAGTAGTGCATTACCTCCCAACTGACTTGTTCAGCAATATATCAGAACGGGCAAGGCCCTCCTTGAAGGTGTCCAATGCAACTCCATACTGTTGGCAACCGGCTTCAAGTCGCGTATTCCACAGCTGAACCATATCCAGTTTCTTGAGCTTGCGACCTTTGGTTGCGTAGGCGAGCGCACGATGTACGCTACGTATGGCAAAGGTGTAAACATTTCGCGTACGACTGCGATAATGCTAATTCATAAAAGGATGTATTACCAGTCAAAATAATGAAGAAAAACGTATTTTTAAACTTACCGCAGCAAGCTTGAAAATGCGTCTTTTTCGCCAGAACTCATCAGGTCCTCGGGACCTCACCAACAAAGGAAGATTCAAGAATACCATCGCAAGCTCTTGTTAACAATATGTACAGCAATCCTTTCTACTTTCAAACAATTCAATATTTTACATAACCTGCACACTTCATTCTATCGAAATAGATGTGCACACGCAGCTGACTGTCGATAAGTTATACATCGTATTTATAACTATCGATTACAATTGCCAGTCAAACGATTTATAAATCATAGAAGGTTACCCAAAATTTGCTTGTTGCGTAGAGAACGAAATCGAATGTATCCTGTTTCTTAAGCAACATTATTATATTTAAAAACTTCTTTAAGAAATGCTAAGACAAGGATATAAAACAGACAATAATTTGCATTCATAATGCAGCTTGCTAATAATTTTGTTCCGAATTTATATTAATGATTATGTCATGACGTATCTACGAAAACAATGCAATGCAGAAGTCTTGCAGTGCAACCTTCCACATTTCTTAACTTGTGCTATTGACATACAACTGCTGCCGGTTTTAGAATCTTTATTTACTCTTTTGCAAATGCTACAAGAAATCGAAATTTCAATGTGATTTATACAGAGAATTACAAAGAAGCACATGTAATTTTGTCATAATGTGCGCAATGAATTCAAGGCCTTCAGCCTGCGCCCGCTTCCAACTCTGTCCCGAGGGCCGGATCAGTTTATATTGTTTTCTAGCTACGGCAGGTCTTGTGCTGTTGCCCTCAGTGCCTCAGATCTACTATGAAATTGTGCCAAACGTTTGGGGCGCCATCCTGTGGGGTCCCGTGCTATACTACGCCCTGATCAATTTAATAATACGTTTTGTGCTCCGGAACATGGAATATCAGGTATGGCGTGACTCACTCTTCCATTGCACAAAAATAGATATCTCAATCTGATTATTTTATCAACAAGGTTGCCATACGCGCCTCGTTTCTGGGCTTTGTCATGGCGGCGAGCGTCCTAGTCGTTTGTTTCGCGCCCGCTCCATGGCAGCAATTTGGCGTTTATGGCTGCTTTATGTCCTTCTTTCACTACTCGGAGTTTCTGGTTATTGCGGTGGCAAATCCACGAACGCTCTCACTCGACTCCTTTATGCTAAATCACTCGGTCCATTATGGTTTGGCCGCAGCAGCTAGTTGGATAGAGTTCGTTCTAGAGCTCCACTATCTACCCGAATTCAAGCGCTATGCCCACATTTGGTTTGTGGGCGTGGTACTATGCACTTTCGGCGAGATTATACGAAAGGCGGCAATCATCACAGCAGGTCGCAGCTTCACACATTTAGTTAGTATATGCTTATCACCTGTTGAATTTACAAACTAATGTGCACTTAAATAGGTGCAAGATGAGAAGCATTCGGATCACAAGCTGATAACCCACGGCTTATACGCGTACAGCCGCCATCCGTCGTATGTGGGTTGGTTCTATTGGTCAATTGGCACACAAATTATTTTGATGAATCCGCTGTGCATATGCATCTATGCATTAGTCAGCTGGCTGTTCTTTCACGATCGCATATACGTTGAGGAGTATTCGCTGCTGTACTTCTTTCAGTCTGACTACGCACGATACCAGAAGCAAGTCCCAACGGGGCTTCCCTTCATCAAAGGCTATCTGATTGAATAGGAAGCATATCAACGGGATCAAATGTCATCCACACAAATGCTAATGCAACAACAAATGCGAAGCAAAAACAAATGTAATTTTAGTATTTCACCCTTTTGAAATTTGTGCACAGAACAACAATAGAGATAATGACGAACCTTTTTCAATTATTATCGAGTCTATTTGTATTGTGTTTCAAAATGTCAAAGTATAAGAATGTGTTTAAGCGTTATTGTTTATTTTTTTGTATTTTGCAACAACGAAATAAATTTAGAAATGTGAATAAGGCAATGCAGTCTATTATCTATATTTCGAAACTCTCTTCCATAGTAGCCTGCAGTCTATTTAACCTGATAATAATCTCTGATTCATTGTTTCAATTCACCAATGATAAGACAAAAGCAAACTTATCAACAGGTTGTACAAACATGAGGTTATTAAGAAACATAAATTATCTGCTATGATGTGATATATTATTACATTAAATTAAGGAAAAAGAAACACATGACATCTGAGCACACTAGCGTATTATTGCTGTATTCGTGTCTTATCTAATCTGCCGCTGATTCAATCGTTAAAGGCAAAGTTATTAAACGCACAAAGTTATTAAACGTACACCGAATGTAACAAAACACACAAAAAAGGGATGCGAATGAAAAAGCTTTTGCCAAATAAATAATCTCAAGCAATTGCTATCAATTATAATTTTCTAAGGGTCATTTTAAGGTCATCTTGCCAATCAGCTGTCAAATATATTTTGTTAGATTTCTGGGCTTTTGTTATTTTATTATCAATTTAAATTCGAATATTGCTCTAACATTGTTTACAAACGACAAGGCCGTGCATAACTCACATGTTCGTTGCCAACTGGGTTCATGTGCAAGTGTCTTTATGTGTGTGTGTGAGTCTATATATATGTGTGTGCGTGTGAATGTGTGTAGATTATATGTACAAATAATTATTAGTGTTAACAAAATTGTCTTAGTCACTTTTAGAACTTATTTGCATTAATTACAAATACATTTGCGCCATGCGTAATGCCTCGTACAGGCTTATCTGCGAGTGTTCGTTGTGTTCGGTGTGTGTGTGTGTGTGTAAGCGTGAGCGTGTCTTGGTGTGTGATTCCTGTTTTTTGTATTTATTCAACAAAGTCCGGCTCACCGGAATATGTGCAGCCCGGATTCATGATTATATGGCGCGCCGCATAGTTGCCACAACGTATGCAAACATCGAGCGACTTGTCCTGCACATACTGCGATAGGAAACCACCAACGAATGCATCCCCAGCGCCATTGGTATCTACAATTTCATGGACCGCCAAACGAGTAACTTCGAACTCCTGGACCGTATCGTGCTGTATGAGCAGCACGGGGTCACAGCCCTGCGTGAGTATGGCAATGCGTGGTCGCGCTGAATTGATTTTTGGCAATGCCACCAAGCGTTTACCAATCTCACGCAGATCCGCATCGGCTGGCCAACCTTGCGTTGTGGCAAAGGCATGGGCCTCTGCTTCGTTGCCAAAAATGATATCCACATAAGGCATAACTTTCAGCAGCGGTTCCATGAAGAATTGCGATATGAATGGTGCGCTGAGGTTCATTAGGAACGGTCGCTGCTTGGCATTGGCGGTGGCAGCCACACTCATTATACTGGGCGGGTTAACGGTTAAGAAGAAGCCCTGCATGCAAGGATTACACAATAGATTAAACAATACATATGCTCGATTGGCCAGATTGAATGCCTACCGAGATATAGTAGTATAGAGCATTGTCTACCAATGCCTTATTCGCCGGCTGCTTCAGGTGATCGATGGTGAATTTGTTGGCGGCCGCCAGGTTAGCGCACAATGAACGATGTGTGCCCGTAATGAGTACCGCGCAAGTTCCCGTGGGTGTGTCTGTGCTCACTTGATAATGGGCATCAACACCGGCTTCACGTGCCTTTTCCCTCAATATATCCGCATAATTATCCTTGCCCACGCAACCAAAGAAGACAGCAACCTTTGGCTGACCCAATATCCATTGTGCTATACGCAAAGAATTTTGAACCGAGCCACCGGCAAGGTATTCCGCCTTATAGTTCTCAACCAGCTCACGATATATGGGCATGTGTCGCTCCTCTGCCAATATGGCATCATCCTCCTTCATGCCATATCCTTGCAAGAAATGCATAGGCACTGTGGCCGAAATATCCAGCAGGGGATTTCCACATCCTACCAGGATTCCTTCTCTGCAAATGAAATAAAAATCAAATGGATTAGGCTACAGTTGATGGTACGCCCTAGAGATACGCAACCTCGCGTTGCTTCTGTGGCTCATGTTGTCCAGTCGAGGGCTTCTCTTTAATTAGTAATTGAAACCGACTCCAACATCAACGATTGCCGCTTCAAATAATAATCAGTATCAGTTGTCGATGAACCGCTGCGATAGCCCCAAATAAAGCTACAGTGCGGGCTAAATTGATGATCACACTGCTACAGATACTGAATAAATACCGAATAAAATTACACTATATTTTATGTAAGCATATACCTAGAGCTATGTTATAATATATATATATATAGAGAGAGAGAGTACCAAAATATATATATTTCGAACATCGATTTCAACTGGGGCTTAGCTATATATTTTGGTAACCACTGTTGTTTATGACGTGCTTTGTTGTATTTGCCCTGAAGAATGTTTGTTATCAGTACATTTTGGAAGTTCATTCATACAGTAATCCAAATTCTTTTGGATCAAAAGTACAGAACACAATTCAGATAACATAAAGCACACAACCAAACGACGACACTAAAATGAGCGTCAGCCTGTGGCACACGATTTTCACATGTTGCTGTAAATTTCGGCAATTAGACTCACGAACCAACACGAACACGTGGACCCCATTTGTAGACATTAATAAACTACGACGAAGTGTTGGCGAGGGCGGCCGGGGCCGTTTCACTCAACTTACTGTAGTTTGCTTGTCATTCTGTTGTTATTGTTGTTGTAGGTGCTCTGATGTTGACCGTCAGCTTATGTAAACATAAACACGTTATTGCACTTGGAAGCTGTAGTTAACAATTGATTTTATATCACTATATAACCTATGACTTAGCTTAATTAGACTTATTAAGAGCTATTTTTAGCGTTGTTGGCGAGATGCGGGAGCTGCTTGGCTCCAAAGATTTTGGGCGCAATGACACAAAAAACAGCCGCTTTAAATATGCTAAAAAATACCTAATTCGTAACGCTCAAAAGAGTTGTATGTCCATTTCTATGGTACCAATGAAGTTTTTGTATGCTAACAATATTTATTTCGAGGTCATATAAAATTGCTAGTATGAATATATATAAATATGTAAATATAGAAAAATAAGAGTTTAAAGAGATTTTTCATTAATTTTGTTCATTAAAAAACAATGCTTGTCGTATAGCATCTAGCTTTTAAGAGATATTTTTGGTTACCAGCTGATATCGATATATTAAAGCATCACTGAAACCGAAAACATGAAGTTGGCTGCAACACGGCTTGGCTCTCTTTCTTTCCGGTTGTCAAATAGGTATGAAAGTGTATTAATTTTGTGCTGAAGTTGCTACGAAGAATTTAATTTGAAATTATGTGCGGCATCATATCTAATAATAGTTTTATTAATATCATTTGCAGTGCAGTGCAGCCTCAACCTTTCAGATATGGCCGACGTTGATGTGTAAGTGCAAAACGCTTTAAAATCTTAACTCAAAACTCTTCCACTATGATGAAATTAATTGGTCCGTGTTTATGAATTTACATTGATTAGAAACCTTCCAATTACTGAGGAAATTCTTTGAATTGAGTTTTGAACTAGAACCTCTGTGATAATATGCAGATTAGATTAATTACACCCTTTCTTTCTACAGAGATGTACCCTCCGCAGCGCCCGTTCTTGGCGGTGCCATGGACATAAACACCGCGCTACAGGAAGTGCTGAAGAAGTCGCTGATCGCCGATGGACTCGTCCATGGCATCCACCAGGCCTGCAAGGCTTTGGACAAGTAAGTGAAAATATTGTTTTTTATTTATTTAACTCATTTTGCTGATGAAATTAATTGGTCCGTGTTTATGAATTTTACATTGATTATCAATTCTTCCAATTGCTGAAAACTACATTAAAACCACCAGTCGGCTTCTGCTTGTATTTTAGTGAACAATTATAGTTAACGTTTGTATTTTATTTTGCAGGCGTCAAGCTGTCCTCTGCATTCTGGCCGAATCCTTTGATGAGCCCAACTACAAGAAATTGATCACTGCCTTGTGCAATGAGCATCAGATTCCACTGATCCGCGTCGATTCGCACAAGAAATTGGGCGAATGGTCTGGCCTGTGCAAGATCGACAAGGAGGGCAAGCCCCGCAAGGTCTGCGGCTGCTCTGTGGTCGTCATCAAGGACTACGGTGAGGAGACGCCCGCATTGGATGTAGTTAAGGACCATCTCAGACAGAACAGCTAAACATATTGCCGTTGCCGTTCCCCCGTCTGCTGAATGAGAGACTACCTGGCAAATTTTTTATTGCTAAATAAAAACAAAAACTTAACGAAAAACAAACATTCACAAAAGGCCATGAAACATTCAATTTTTGGAATGCTCTTCATTTAATAATTAATATTAATAATACAAACTAAATGATAAAAGTTAATCTACACAGTTCAAGCAGGAGTCCTTGTGCTGCGGCCAATCCTTAAGCTGGCATTCACTGTAATTTAAAGGGAAAGAAAAGCAAGTTAATTGTGAAAAGTCTACGCATTAGTTTGTGGAACGCACCGTGAACAATAATGAACCAGCTTACAGTTGGCGCATTTCTTTTTGGCCGGCACCTGACATTTGCCGCATTTGTGAGTCTTTTCGTCTGATTCCTCACTAGTGGTTGCTGTCGCGCTATCATCCGATTTTGCTTCATCCTTTTTCAGTTCCAAATCCGCCATGTGCTGCTCCAATTCACATAATATCTCCGTACCGTAGGCGCTGGTCAGTTTTGTAGCCAGCGCACAAATCTCTTCTCGATTGTTGTTTAGGAACACGCCATCCTGGTTCTGGGCAACTTGGTAAAAGCCACCGTCGCGCTCCACCTCTTTGATGAGATTATCCTGTATTTGTGGCATATCCTCCAATATCAAGTTTTTAGTCTTTTTGCCCGTATTCCCGCTGATTGTTAAGCGGCTGACGTACTGCTTGAGTTCGACCAGGACGGGCAGCTGGTCCAATAGCGTCTCGTGCATCATGCATGCGAGCTGTAGTAAAATGGACTTGAAGGATTTTTTATTTTTGAAGTTTATTGTATTACCTTTGATAACTGTTTGCAACGCGCCTCGTTTAGGGGATAATAATCGACAATCTGTGGACTGAGCAGCAATTGGCGCGCACAGAACCAGGCCTGAGCTTCCGGCTTTATTATTTTAGTTACATCGTCTACGGAAGTCCACTTCTCATCAATGAACTTCTCCAAGCCCTTGCTGGTCTTGCGCTGCCAGGGCCTGAAGCTCAGCACATCCACTATCAGCCAGGGTATGTCATGGGTGACCAGCATTCGACGCGCTGCGCCCAAATGGAAAAGCGAAACATTGTCAGCTAGGTAACTGAGTAAAGAAACGCAGCGCAGTCCGATCTTATAGATGAGATCGCGCTTTTGACGCTCGAGCTCCGTGAGCACGGCTTCGTCCACATCCAGTTTGGTCTCGTTTTCGTGGTAGCCCATGCTAACCAAGCCGATGACTTGCGCCACACCCTGAGCAGCGTAGTCGATCAGATCCAGAACCGAATCCTGTAACGACTCACAGCCACTAGGGTGGTAGAGACATAGATCCAGCAGCGCTACCACTGCTGCCTCGTGGTACAGCACGGTGTAAATGAGGAAGGTGGCCTGAGGGTTGGGATCGATTTCGAGCAGATGCGGCAATACACGCGATTTCCAGAGATTCACGCAATAAGCTTCGTTTATGAGCACTGATAGCTTATCCCGGGAAATGAGAAACTCCTTGACCTCCTCCTCGCGCTGTTCGGCCACCTCCAGGGCCGCCTGCTGACTCAGCTTGATGATCATCTCATGCACCTCCAGCCACTTGCTGCTGCCCACATCTCGCACCTGGAAGCATCGAATGCTCTCCACGAACAGGTACAGTTCTTCGGGATACACAAAGTTGACCATGATTAATGATTTTTTGACTAATAGGAATTACAGAAGTTGTCACTATCTCGAGATCGTCGAGTGAAAATGGCTAAAATTTAAAATAAACAACCTGTCGGTTGTCATGGAAACCTGAATGGGTTGCTAGGTGTCCTTGAAAGAAGCTGTTAAGGGGTTGCTGTGCTTGTTTATTTTTTAGTCAGGGTTGGTGCTATGTTAAGAAATTTAACTTTATCCATGGATTTCCTAACAATGAGAAACAATGTCTTTTCAACACTTTGTACATTCAGATTGTATTTGAAATAAAATAACTGGATAAATTAGTTGAAATTAAATTTCACATCCCTTGGGCTAGGCTAGCCTAAACACGCTTCGTAATTAGTTAATACTTGAAGTTTACATGCTTGTTATATAGCTTATATACATCATACAAATATATATATGGAATAAAATCTAATTGTCTTTGACAACAAATTGTAAATTATTTACTCGCCAGGACTTTGGGGTCAACAGTTTACATAAAGGCTCCAGCCTACATTTTGTAACTTAAGCGGCAAAAGAATATATATCCCGAAAACTATACACATAAGCGATATAATCACACGTTTTAGTAAGATTAAAGCCGACATCGAACAGTCTAACGATATAGTTTAACTTGTTGCTTTAGCTCGCGATCGCTAATGCGATCCTTGAGATTCAGTTCATCTTCCTGTTTGCGCAATAGTTCGAAAATAGCCGCCAATTGTTCGCGCTCAATGCGTCGCTCTTCTTCAATTTGGCTGGGCGACAAGTTCTTTTCCAACTTGTGCTGATACCGTTTGGCCTTGAATTTTCCCACCAGGTTGCTATAGTTGGGCGCTTTTCCTGGTCCTGGCTCGGTGTCGCTTTCGCTTAACGGTTCCTGCTCTTCCTCGTACGCCTCGTCATCATCGATCTCGCTTTGCAGGCGTGCTTGCATTTGTGCTTTCAAAACGGGATCGTCCTCCAAACGTTCTTCATCAGCGCCAAGGCCTTCGTCCTCCAGGTCCTGCATCGAGTACATGAATTTTTATTGCATTTCGGGGGCTTGGATTATATCAATTGATTACTCACAGCATCGTCCTTCAAAAAGTTGGCAAAATAAAGTGCTATTAGGATGCATAACAGCAGAGTGGTCAAGGCCACCACATAGTAGCCCGAAGGATCAAACCACATGTCCAATATAATTTCCCTGTTTGGCTTTATATTTTATTGCGATTGCAAGACTTTTGTTTTGATGACTTCCACAACAGCAATGTGACCAGCTTGTACAGTGATTCAAATACATAAATACTTCAAAAAATACTAATTTACTAGTGAAATGAACTGAGGGCCGTTGATTTTTAAAGAATTATATTTTATTTAAATATTAATTAGGAAAAAAACAAAAAACCGTATTGCTACTTTTTACATTAATTTAACATTTATGCAACTTATGTTTAAGGTGGTATTTTTTTTATGCATTAAAAACATGACAAATATATATATAATATAATAATAATATTTTGTTATATTGCTGGCTCATCAAAGCATCCGCATTAATTCCTTATTTGTTGTATTCAACATTTTGCTTCAAATATTGTTCGGGGTTTTGAAGAAAGGCTTCCAAAAACTCTATACCCTTTGGTAAAAATCGAATCCTCTCATCAAAATGATACAGCGGCGGCTGCAGAATGTCCTCAAAAGAGATCTCCTGTACGTTGCCTATTCGAATTTTAAAATTGTTTCTCTCTGTACGCGCATAGGCCTCATCATCTTTCTTTATTGATTTGCGTACAGTTTTTCTAACTATAATCCGATTCGAATCACTAGAATTGAAATGCCAAATCAATTAAATAAAATTCAAATATTAAGCCCATGTGATTTACCTGAGCAGTCGCGCTTGTGCTGTGATTACTATCAATTGCATTTTCCTGCATATGTTATATATTTTTAAGCAAACCTCATCGATGTGCTTTAGAAATTTAACAAGATCTGTAACATCGTTGCCATCCAACAACCGATCCAGATTCAGCGGAAGATTAAGCTTAAGCTGAAAATCTATCAGCTGCTCAAAAGCGTTCAACAACGCTGAAAATAAACATACATACAATTAAAACCCAGTTGAAATGTCAAAGTGGAACACTTACGTGTAGGTCCTACGGATTTGGACTTAAGTTGAATGCTGCTCACGTGTATTTTAGTTTCCAAAAAATCCAACGGCTCAAAATCAATATATATTTTAAATGTGGTAATTTTACGATGTGAGAATATGTAGGTACGATAGACTTGCAAATTACAATCAAATATCCAATTGGGCAGCTCGGCCTGCAATGAGGTTTTTAAGCACTCTGCAAACGATTCAACTGGCTTTGGTTTGGGACAACTTTGAATGTATCTGAATAAGAGAATTTTTAAAGTTGTATTAACTAATTGTATTTTATAATCATAAATATATATTTTTACTTACTCTTCCCACCTGCTGTTGAACATATCTAACATTTGTGGTATGTTTAAGCGACTTGTGTTACGTGAATCGCATTCCGATTCCGATTTCTCATCATCGTCATCATCGGAATTCTGCCCTAGTTTCTTAAGCTCCCAATATTTGTGGACATCTGATATACGTGGCTTTTGTCGCAAACGTTTTAATCGCTCAAGTTGCACGTCCAGGTCCGGCCAAGCCGGCAACTCAAATGTCTCTTCGACACTTTTACGCGCTCTCGTCCTATCCATCGATCGCCGGCAATGTTTGCACTTCTTGCATGCATCCTCAGCTCCAGCCATTGCTGGCTGTCCAAGGCAAGTCTCATTAGCCTCCAAGTCAAGGTGGCTGCTGTTTGCTGCTTGCATTTCCTCGTCGTCCGCCTCGTCCAGCAAGGTCGACACCAGACTGAGCCGTGTCTTGTCAATTTCAGTATCCCAATTGTCGTTAAGATCTTCAGCATTGGTAAAGATTATGGTATCACCACTTAAATTTATGAACTTCTTATGGGCCGTAGCATAGCTCTTATTGCTACGCTCATTCGAGCTGCGACTTTCAATGGACGTCTCCTTGGCCAGTTCTCGCTGTGATTTGAAATGGCTGGACACGTCAGATATGGTAATAGGATTATCTTCATACACATCTGTTTTCCGTTTATGCTCAATCAAATGTGCAATTTCCATTCCATGGGTACTAGTTTGCCGCATCATTTGTGCTCTTACCATCTGCACGGTGCCGTCCAGCTGCTCCGTTTCGCGACAAGGAGATTTCAAGGTTTGGCATAAAGCAGAAATGCGTGACCTATGTGTTGGTTGATCTACTTGCTCCACATTTTGTAATGATGTTTCCGATTCGGGCTGGGAGCTAATAAAAAAATGCAAAACAAATTAGGGACACACTAATATCAAAGCGTGGAAAACACTTACGTATTTTCCTGGTCAATGTTAAGATGCCGGTGCATGCTACGCTTTTTCGGATCTGGCAAATTGGGTGTTAAGTGTATTGGTATGCGTTTCCCATTAAATGACGTTTTCTTCTCGGGCGTGACATAGTTTGACGTGTCCATATCCAGCTCCATGTCTATCGCTTGGTATATGGACCGGCAAGCAGTTTTTGCAGCTGGAGTTTTAATCTTGCAATCGTTCTCCAAATCTTCAAACTCAATCATTGATCGACCTGGTGTGAGGGCAAACATCTGACGCTTCTTATTCATTTCAGGCGTTTCCAACCTTGTGTTGATGAAAACGTTTTCTTTGTCTAGAGCTTTACGCAAGAGGTCGTTCTTTAGCTTGGGCCTGGGCCTGCTGTAGCACTGGTCAGTGGACTCTACATTTGACATTTCCACATCCATTGCTTCCTCTTTGTATTGTGTGTGCCTGGGCTTGCGTTCCAGTTGCATAGTTTCAGCTTTCGTCTTTGATTGAACGCAACTGGCGTCTGCTTCACTGGCGTCTTTCAAAAGATGTGTTTGACGCGACCTATTATCATATTGATCGACTACAGAAGCCGATTGTTGCTTGGTCGTCTTGTCAGCATTGGACATAACTTCGTCAATGCCATCACTTAGATTTAATGTCAGGTTGGGCAACTGGTTGCAGTTGGTGCTTTTATTATCTTCCTGAATGGACTCCGACAAGAGTAAAGTTTGTCTATGTTTGATGCTCCCTTTTTTAGCTGGAGCGACTGAATGCGTGGAAGAGAAATTCATATCCACGTCAATAGCTTCTGGGATGAGCATTGTTTTTCTATCTTTGCTGCAAGGATTATCTTTGGAAACAGCGGTTGACTTGGAACAGAAAGAGTCTTCTTCCATGGGATCAACGACATGCAATGTTTGCCTAGGCCGGTAGGCCTGCAAACCAACTTGATCAACATCCGGTTGTTTTCCCTGATTGGAGATATCTTGCTCTATTGCAGCATTCCTTCGTTGCTTATTGGCAGCATTGGATGATGAGCAAAAGGAGTCTTCTTCAATGGGATCAGCCAGGTGGGTTGTTTGTCTACGGCTATTGACTTTGAAGTCATAAGTTTGTTGTCTTATTTCTTTTTTAGATTTTAAAATAACCTCCTCAATTGGCTCTGCTTTTTGTAAAGTATGCCTATGCAGATTGGCAGAGAGCGATGTTAAAGTGTAGGAATCTTCTTCAATGGGATCAGCCAGAATAGTTGTTTTTCTACGGCCATCTGAAGCCATATTTTTTTTCTCTTCCGGTTTCAAACTTTTGTCCTCACTTGTAGCGACTCTCTGTGAATTGGCAGCAGTGGATATTGAATAGCATGAGTCTTCTACAATGGGATCAGCCTGATGTAAAGTTTGCCTACGTCTGTTGCACTCATCCCATTGCAGTTTGGCAGCATTGGATGTTGAGCAAATTGAATCTTCTTCAATGGGCTCAGGCAAATGTAATGTTTGTCTACGTTGGATGCATTCCAAGTTAGTTTTAGGAGCAGCGGATTGTTCTTTTATATTTTGTTCAGATTTTAGGATATCTTCTTTGATTGTGGCATCTCGCTGTAAATTGTGTTTATGTTGATTGGCAGATGTGGATGTTAGGCAGAAGGAGTCTTCTTCAATGGGATCATCCACATGTAATGTTTGTCTACGCTTATAGCATTGCAAATCCAAATTAGAACCTGCTTCCTTAACAGAGTTTTCATTTTGTAATCTAGGCTGATGCTGTTTGAGAGCTGTGGATGCTGAGCAGATTGAGTCTTCTTCAATTGGATCATCCTGAAGTAATGTTTGTCTACGTCGATTGCATTCGTCAATGGCATGCTGCTTGGCAGCTATGGATTTTGAGTAGAATGAGTCTTCTTCAATGTCATCAGCACGATGTAAAGTCTGTCTACGTTTTTTGTGTTCATTCCTTTGCTGTTCGGCAGCTGTGGATGTGGAACACATTGAATCGTCTTCAATTGGATCAGCCATAAGTACTGTTTGCCTTCGTCGATTGTACTGAGGATCACCTTGAATACGAGCTGACTGCGCCATAATTTCTTCTTGAGGTTTTACATTATCTTTATCAACTGGCTTATCCGACTGTAGTTGATCTCTTTGCCGATCGCCAGCCTTGGATGTTGCGCAGTAGGAGTCTTCTTCAATGGGATCAGCCATGTGTAATGTTTGTCTACGCCTGCTGCACTGAAAGTCCACTGCATTGGATTTTGGCTGGAGTTGTACTTCTCTTTGGAGCTGAACTGAAATTTCTTCAATGGATTCAGACAAGAGCAGTGTTTGTCGACGTCTGGTGTACTGCTGTATACCTTCAGGATCTGCAGTCCGAGTCTGTCCGTAATCCGTTTCAATGAACTCAGACATGTGCATTGTGTGTCTGTTCTTGTTCTGACGCACTTCCTTTGGGGCAGCGGTTGGCGCACAAAATGAGTCCTCTTCAATTGGTTCGGGTAAATGTATTGATTGTCTACGTCTGCTTACATCCTTTTCTAAAACAGACGTTGAGGCGTGTATCTGTGATTTTGATTCATGTTGATGCTTTAGGCTCTCTTCCTCAATTGGCTCAGTCATGTGTAATGTTTGCCTTTGCTTGTTGGAATTGAGTTTCACTAAAGCAGCATTAGCAGCAGTTTGCGAATTAATATCGTCTTTCAAACCAAACGAATCTTCTTCCATGAAATCAACTACGTGTAATGTTTGCTGGCGATTGTTGTATTGTTGCTCATTTGATTGCAACTCCTGGACTGGATCTATGGGTTCCGCCAAATGTAACGTTTGCCGCCTACGAACATTGAATTCTTTTTTAGAAGCTGCAGTTTCATATTTAGGTTGTTCCTCTTCAATGGGTTCAGCCATGAGCAGTGTTGACCTTGGCTTGCTGCGATGCTGTGCTGGTAGTGTTGCCTGAGGACTCAGATCTATTTGGATGGATTGTTGAACCACAGGTGGCATCGTCAAATCGCTCTTTGCATTCTTGCCAGGGCTTGAAAAATCATCTTGTTCCATTGGCTCAAAATGATGCATGGTTTGTTTGTGTTTTGCGCCTTCCAGAGCTGCTTTAACTGCTGCTTCACGCTTCTCTAGATCATCAAATTCCATGGCAGTATTATCGTATGTAGTTTCACGTCGTGATGAGCACTTGGAGCTATTTCGTGAATGTGTCTCATCGCCCATTTTAGCATTAACTAGAAAATTTGTATTGTCCAGCATTAGCTCGTCGGCCTGTGAGAAACGGTAATTGCGTTTTGCATTAAGTGAGTTTTTGGCTTTAACGGGCGGATCTGCATTTTGTGCTGCGGCCACCAGCTTTGCTTCTGACTTTTCTGGAGCGACGGGCGACACCATCATGCTCTCATTGAAGTTGATTGTACTGCGTGGCTTTATCATTTCTCGGTTTGGAACTTCCTCTTCCATAGGCTGCTGCTCTAGCCCATGCCAGAAACGTTGTTTCGCTTTGCGATCAGTAGTGGGAGTTCTTGGACCATTGGGAAATAATTGAATTCGGCCAGAATTCAAGGCATCGTTCAATTGACGAAAATTCAGTTTCTTACTAATGCCGTTCTCAGAAATGACGTCCAATGGTATTAAAGGTGATGACAACGTTGAATCATCTGGCAAATAGTTCATATAGTCTTTTTCTGCCATATCCATGGATACATTTTCTTGAGTTAACTTAGCCCCATCTTCAAACATTTCTGCCGGCTCTGAAATATTAAAGAATTAATAAATTTTTGTTCGGTGTGTTAGATTTTTATATAATTGTAGTTACCGATATCGCTAAAGTCACACGTTATATCTTTGTTCTCAAATACCATAGTCTTTTGGTTGACTTCAGCTTCCTTTTTAGTTCCAACACTTATGTCTCCGGACACTATATGTTTTTGCATGTTGACTTTTTCGAGAGGTTTTGGCTCCAGCTAAAATGAACCACAAATTAGTTAATATATGTTTATATGCACCAAAGTACATTATAATAAAATTGCACTTAGCATTTAATTTAAATTTCACTCTTGTCTAACAGAAGTTTCAACTTACCCCAGCATATGCTAACGTTTCTGGCATAAGATCCATAGTTTTTTCGAAAACTGGCATTTTGTATACACTATTTTCTCTCAGCTTCTCACGTTCTATTTCATTCAAAGATAAACTGTCACTGGCCGCTTGTTCCAAACGTGTTGGAGATTCAGTGCGCTGTCGGTATCTTTTTAGTTCATCTGGTAGCAGCGTCACATTGATACTCGTCTGCAATTTGAATGTGAAATCGCTCAATTGAGAATTGTACTCCAACACTGAAGCGTTGGATTGTATTAGACTGTCGGGTAATGCATTTTCCTTATCCATCTCATTGGTCATATATATTTGTGCTGTACTTTGCAATACAGACGCTGCAACTGTGCCATGGGATTGGCCGGAGATATCCTCGCCATTGGTGTGATCTGATATTTCATATGAGTTGTCATAGTCTCGCGCTTTCTCCGTCGTATCAAATTCTCTGTATGTGCCACATAACTTTATAATTACAATAATTAAGATTGTATTTATATTACGTACCGTATGAACTTTTTGCCGCTGAAACTGATGCGACGCTTAGTTCGTACTGGAGCAAGCTCTTCATCTTGTTGTTTTGCCACTTTTTTAAGCTACCAAAACAGATATATATATATAAATATATTGTGATTACGAGTTTTGATAATTTACTCACCGAACTTCTTGCTTTCTTTTTATTCATTTGTATTTTGTTAGAAAAATATTACTGTTCCCTTAATTTAAAATAAAGACGCCATAGTTCATGGGACTGCCAACTTATTCAATTATTTGTTGCCATCACCATAGATTGTCTATATTTGATATCAATATATCGATAATATATTTAGGCTGTTATTTTTAAATCATCTTAAAATGCGTGGCAGGTATATTATTTCATAAACATATTTTCAATAATTTAATCAATATAATTTCATTGCTGAAACCCTTTATAATGTTTAATTTAACAATGTGCTGGTAGTTTTGCAATTTTGAGTTCTGACTATGGCTACTAAATGTTATATTAATTTGCACCTTATGTCTCTAAGTTCTCTGCACTATATATTATAAGCTCTACGTTGAATACAACAAACTGTTTTTTTAAGAACAACTTAAGTATATCAAGTTTTTTACTGTAGCTATCAGCTGACTACTAATTATAGTTATCGATTGCATTTGTATAATATAACTAACTTATCGAAAGAACAACAATTCGATAATAGACTTGACTCAACACTACCGCCAAGCACATTTTTCTGTGCTATATCTACTTAAGCCTATCCAAAATTGGATCGTGAAATGTACGAGCTAAAAACCTTGTTACCACAATTTGATATTAAACTGCCTAACTGTATGTACGAATTGAGGAATGTCAGCATCTCCGCTGGTGCTGCACCATGTCCCGAAGTAAGTGTGTTGTGCCCAGCTGCGTGGCCAAAATTAGAGATGAGCATTGCAGCGAACAGAAATTCACTGTGACTGAAGTGCAAGTGATTTGCTTTTTAATTGTTTATCTACATTTAAAGTTCCTTTAAAAATTTCTGTAACGAAAACTTAAAAACCATTTCATTTCAATTCAACACATGATATCAAAAAGGCCCATAAAATTCAATGCAATGGCGCAGCGAAGAGTGAAAGCAACAATTCAAAATCGGTTACCTGTGCACTTGATTTGGAAATTTTAGGCAAACAAATACAACATTTGCTAAAGGTTAAAGAAATATATATACTAAACACAAAATTATAAATCTATTTATAAACAATACTAACTAACAGAAATGCATAACACGCACCGTGCTTTTGAGTTTGTGTTCACATTAGAAATGGGCGCATGATAATACGTCTTGTTTTTTTTTATTAAAGTGTGTGTTTCCATTAAACTCGTCGTTATACGCTGTGTCAACGTGCGGTGGTTTAAAATAAAAACATAACAATCATAACGATCAGTGTGGTTTCTTAAGCAAGCGAAAAGATATATTTTATTTACAGATCAATGCAATCACGATAATCACATTGTCACGCGCCCATCTCTAGTTTTGTTAGTTAATAAATTTGTTGTCCTGCAATGATGCAATTTGTTTATATTTACAGAACGAAGACACGGCAGCAGTTTTGCAGCGCCAAGAAAAGGTGTTGAAACAGCTGGAAGAGTTGAAAGCACAATTGGCCCAAATACGCGAAGGCTTGAATATCAAAGTTTGCGGCAAGAGCGTGCAGCACACGACAGCCTGTCATAACGGTGGACTAAAGGAGGTTAGTTACATACATGCCTTAAAGTATTTAAAAATAATTTAAGCTACAAAATTGTTTACCGACAGGTACCACTGCATGATGTCGTCGTTAATGGCCATCCCAACTTTATCCCATATGCATTGCTGGCATTGAAGAACGCTTGGCGGAATTTATACACGATTGATGTGAAGACATTTACACACTCGACTCTGGCTGATATTGGACCAGCAGCGCGCGAATTTGAAGCTAATTTAGCTAAAGTAGCTGTCAATGAGGAGTTGCCCAAAATCAATGTGACACTAATCTGGAAGAACTGTAAGCATGAGTTACTTACAGTTAATTGCAACAACATTTATCTCGCATATCTATTTACAGGTGAACACACAGAGATGATTAGTTCTCCCACTATGTACGTGCCCATTTATGGTGAAGTAAATATCATTAGATATTTGGGTCGAGTGGGTCCCGTCGAATATCGCTATGAGAACTCACCGCTCTGCAATGAAATCGATGCTGTGCTTGATATTTGCTATCAGCTGCTGCGGTGCACCACGCACAAAAGCCAAGTTGCCATGGTTCGGCTGCTCGACAAGCGACTAAATCAGCAACAATATTTTGGCGGCAGCGAAATGTCTGTGGCGGACATTGGCGTCTATAGCTCGCTGATACGCATGCCTGCCATTACGGACAAGGATCTTACACCAGCGCTTCTTGCATGGCGCAAGCGGGCCAAACTCATAACTGAAATCTAAAATGTTGCAAAAACAGATGAAATAAACCGTTAGCAAAAGAATCTCAGCCACTGTGTCGACTGAGTGTCACAATCGATCGATTATTTACGATAAATTTAAAATCACGATTAGTGATTTCAAATACAGTAATCAAGATTCTTAATTTGCTTTTGAGTGTCATCACAATTTGATAAAAAAAAAATAGATTTATGAAGTTTTTAAAACTAATTATATATAATATATTATTATTATATTTATTGCAACATTTAATACTTGCTTGAAGAGTAAGCTTTTCGTTTATTGTAGACTTGAGCTGAGCTTACAAAACCCAAGGATCGTTTTCCATTATCTTTGGATTAAATTGGACACGCGATTTTTTATTATTTTATTTGGCTTATTTATTTTTGCAATTAATTACACAATGCAGTTTCTCATTTTAATATTGCAGTTGGTGTTGTTTTCCTTTTTGCACTTACAAATTGCTTAATTGCTACGTTTAATATTTGCTTTATATTGTTGAAATCCGTTGATTGTATATTATGTTTTCATTTATTAGTTTAGCTTTGTTAGGATGTCTCGCTTGATAGGAGGTTAGTTCACGTTTAAAATGTTTGCATCTGTAGCGCCCCCCTTTAATGATCTGTACCATATACAAGCACATATGGATGTGTGTAATTGTATATATATTTTAAATAATAATTAATAGCTAATACATATGTATATTGTATATATATTGTATAATCATCAGTTTTGAGTGTTATTTAGTTGCTGTAAAAGGAATCGCAAGCTCTTGAAACTCTATGAACGGATTTAAAACGTGTCTAGCCAGAGGCTAGCTGGGAAAGAAAAGTAGGCCAGCTAAGAAGTGATTCACGTTTCAGTTTTACAATTGTACACAAAATCAACGTTAAAAAAATAATAATTGTGTTAAGAGAAATGGTAAGCCAGCTCGATTGGCATTCGGGGGCGTCTCCTAGCAGCTTAATTCGTTTCTTTTTCACACTTAGTATTTCATTTAAATGCTACGCAGACGCCTAGGGCAGGAGCAGAGTTCAGTTGGAGTTGGAGCGGGTTTATCTGCATTATGTAGTCTCGCCCTTGCCGCTGTCATCAGCGGACTCGGCATCATCTGTTGCAGATGCCTTAACTGATTTCGCGGAGAGACCATTGTTGTTCGTGCACTTTGTATTGCCATTATTTTTGCTAATTGATGCATTATCGTCATTCCCCTCTTCATCATCTTCATCGTCCTCATCTTCGTCATCATCCTCATCAGAGTCTGTTGGCAAATCTTCCGTTTCCAAATCAAAATCATCATCATAGAAATTTGCATCCAGACCAGACTCTGTGCTGGGCTTAACAGTGGGCTTTAGGCAATAGTCCTCCAGTGTCATAGGTACCACAATGCCCTCTCGCTTAGCTTCCGCATTGGCAGCCAACGCCTGCTTGCGTATGATGTTCGGATATTCGTTGTCTTTGCCCTGCATTGAATATAGGAGTTTATTTAGCATGTTGTTGTGCATGGATTATGGACGCATTACCTGGGAGTCCCGCCATCGGCGATACATTACCGAGGCATCTACATTGGCCGGCGAGTATGTATTAGGCTCATTTAGGAGCGAAATGACCGAGAGGAGAATGGTACGCACATTCTGCGTGGGATTCCAGCGTTCGCAGGGCAGCTCACCACTTTGAGGATCATCGACAGGCGGATGCAGTATAGATATGCAAAGATCGCCGTTCTCGTAGACGTTCGGATGCCAGACCTTGGTGAGGAAGCGTATGCTTGGCGGCGAGTACGGATAATCATGTGGAAATTTCATATGCGCCTTGAAATAGCCACCTTGATATAGCGTGTCCGGAGGACCAAAGATAGCCACCTGCCATTCGAACAGATTATCATCGTTCAATAGCTTCACGCGAAAACCCTCTACTGGTTCCTCCTGCAGGGACTTGTATTCCATGGCCAGAGCGCGCACCGCCGAGCTGCTGGGCGTCGTTGACAGTGTTGTTGTCGTGGAGCTCGCGCCGCCAGCTCCGGCAGCAGCCATCAACGTCGATGACGCATTTTGCGATGTGGAGGCAGCAGTGGTCATTTGTTCACCTACCAATTGAAAAGTGTTTCTATGCAGCGACTTTTGTAGGTATGTACGTTTGTTTGTGTGAATGATTTAGCTTGTGCGTGTATGTGAGTGCTTAAATATATATGTGAATCAAGCGTACAGGGTCAATATCTTATATACGTTGACGCGTACGGGAGGGGAAATCAACAACGACTACGGATTCAAGGTGAGCAGCGGCACTCACACATATTGAAATTGTTTTTGCAAGTGGAACTTGAAAATTTTGGATAAGCGATTGGGACAAATGCGATGCGTCTCGTTGCCTTGCTTTTGTCGCCTTTTTATTAACTTTTTTGATAGAATGCGAAGAAAATTATAAGTGTCGTTGTTGCTGGTGTTGTTTTGAAGCAGACAACAAAATATTTGAGACAAACAAAAATAAATTAAATGAATGTATGCCAGTGGAGCTGTTAGTTTATTTGCAGCCTACTGTGTTTAATACGTACTTCTTTTGGTCAAATAACTTATAATGAATATGCGGCTTATTGATAGATTTGTATTATTGTTATTTCCTTTGCAACAATTTCACTTTACACATATTCGCCATAATTAGAGATTCGATACTATTGGGAGCAAGCAGGGTGACATTTTGTAAGTCGATGTCGATACATCGTGATTAGCATTGCTCACGAATCAACATCGATACATCGATATTTTCCGTTCGATATTATAATAATATCGATATTATCAGTACATCCCTAGTAGAAAAAAGCTGCGCATCGATAGTGTATACACAAGTGCTGAAGCTGTAAGTCGTGCGTGCAGGGACGCGAAAATTACTTTAAGAGCCACGAAAACTAACCAATTAATTTAATAAAACAAAGCAACAACCAACAACCAGCCGCGTCGTTACACTTATCACTTAGCATGTGGATTATATATCCTTCGCTCAATATGCTGCAACGCGACGCGCTATCTACGCTTCAACTGTGAAGAGACGGCAACAGTGAAAAAGAAAGAAGTAGCAAAGCAAAAAAGAAGTGCATACAGGAGTGGCTGCTGTGAGTGCGCGAGCATAAAAAATTGAAATTGCCAAATCTAAGCAAGCATACACACGCACACACACACTTATACATATAATAAATACATAAATGAAACACAGATCTTGTTAAATTCAATTTAACATTTAAGTAATCTTAACGAACAGAATAATTACTACGTACGAAGAAAATTCAAACAACGCCCAAAACAAAAAATTAACAGATACAAGTACGAGGAGCAGAGTAACAACGACAACAACGAAAGATAAATCATACAGAGACAAAATAGCAACAAAAACAACAACAAATTATACTACTACTACAATAACAACGCAGTTACATTCCAGTGGAAAGTAAAGGGGAATCGAGGAACATGTTTTCAACCAGCATAAAACAGCATATAATTTTGAGCGAGCACATTTTTCTGTGAAAACCGAACGCCCGAAAGAAAAGTGTTGCCCACACACACACTCACATACATACACACATAATTTAATATACATACGCGCGTACGCAGGCAAATAACCGCACACAAACAAACCGACGCTCACAAACATATACATACACATACACATACACAATGTCCAGCTGGGCTGAACGCGTGCATCGACGCGCTGCTGATTTGGGCAACGTTGTCACATCCTGTGGCCATCCAGCAACCGCTCCCGCCTATCCCTACCGCTTAGAGAAGGTGAAGTTCGGCGTGCCCCTGGAGGAGGTGTGCAAGCACAACAACAACATTCCAGGGCCTCTGCTTGTATTAATATTGAAACTGAACAAGGAGTCGCCCAATCGACGCGATGTTTTTCGTGCGCCCGGCCATCAGGGTGCAATGAAGAAGCTCATCCATTTCCTGCAGGCGGGCCGACTCGTCAACGTTGATAATTATTCGGTGTTCACCATTGCCAGCGTACTAAAGAAGTTCCTCCGCAAGATACCGAACGGCATCTTTGGACGCAATGGCGAGATGGAGCTCTTTGCCATTAACGAACTGCAAAATGAAGCCGAGCAAACGGACCGTTTACACAGGTGAGTTGACAACTTTGTCACTTATGTATATACATGTATATACACACACATTTATTCAAACTTATATATTGAATATAGTTATGTGCTAAGCACGTGACACGACCTGTATATATAAATCTATATGGCTTTCGCGCCATTTTTAACTTTAACTTAAGAGCGGAGCTAATGATTATGGGTCTTTTATTTACAATATTTCAAAATGAAATCAAATCTTATAACTTATGTGGTTTCTTAATAGAGAATTGTTTTATGTATGTATCGTGCTGACACGCGCTCATCTCTATTAGCATTAATGTACCCATCTTGTGTCTGTGTGTATATATTGTAACTAGCTTGCGGTAAACTTGCTGAACCGGATCTAGATTTGGTTGCAGCTCAAGAATCTTCAATACATACACATACACATACTAATGTACATGCTAGCAGATGTTGGGTGGGTGTGTGAGCGGGTAAGGTAGCGGGTAAAGACGGCTGCGAATTTAGTTGATATTAAGTGAAAAGCGTTGACTATGTTTTTCTATCGCTGCGTTTGTTGCTTTTGCTGCGTTTCACGCCCGTTTGACTTGGCACTTGTTGACACATTTGCCAGATTTTCACCAATTTTCACTTGAACGCTAAGCGCAGGCGACAAAAATTGGTATGGCAAGATAGTGAGAATAGTAATCCTCTAGGCTAGTAGTAAATACTTCGTTTGCAGCTGTAAATTGAAATGTTTTGTTTGCTCGTTTGCTTTGTGTTGATTCGCATTGCTTTGCTTTGCGTTTGCTTTGCGTTTGCTTTGCTGTTGCAATCGATTTCTAACCGAGCTGAATTAGAGCATAAAGCGTGGGCCAACCGGCGGAGAGACAGACAGACAAACAGACAGGCCCACGCATGCTCAATTAAAATAAAACAAAAAATATTGCAGTTTTGTAATTTACAATTGCTGCCGTTTTTTATTTTTATTTTTTTTTGCAATTGCAGTAAAGGTCCGCATTGTGGGTGAAGTATATAGAGAGAAGAAGGTAAAGTTGTCTGTGCGTGAAGTAAAGTGAAGTGAAGTGAGCGGCACTGGCAATTAAGCATTAACAATCGCAATCGATATTATCTTTCGTTTTTATCGGAGCTGCAGTGGCCTTGCCAACTTAATGCTGTTGAATTGGCATTTGACAGCTGTTTGATTGCAAACGCTTTATTTTTGTCTATTCAGATTTCGTTTTTGTTAATACACTCTGCCACTTTGATATATGAGGATGAATGGGGTTGGATGCGGCAACTGCGTCAGCAGCAGTAGCAACAACGCTGTTACATTAATGCTAATGTGCGTGTAAACAAATAACGTCAGCAATAAAACATAAATTTAAAATTCGGATATCGGTACATGCGTAAAAATCGACCGCCAAATAAATTTTCCATATCAGCCTAGCAGCAATACAAACGTAAATTTTAATTTGGTTACTGTAAACTCTGCGTTCGTGGCCAGCATACAATTATACACACATTTATTGTTGTAATTGTTTATGTGTAGCCGCCGCTGCGATTGCTGTTACCTTTCTTTTGTTTATTTACATTTTAGGGCAGGCGCAGGCCGCCAAACCAACAAGAGCAACAGCAAAAATATCTACAAACAGACACATATATACACATATGCACATATACACATACGCAGATACGTATACATTAAGCAATCGCAATCAGATTCGTTGCCGAATCAAACCAATGCGCGAAAATAGCGACTCTGCTACTGAAACTTTTTATAAATAGATACACAGAGTAGACGCGCGTTTGAGACTTTGTATCAATTAACGTAAACGTAAAACGTAAGAGCAGCCCAACAGGTCCCCCACAAAACTATTGGCACTCAATTCAATCAGTTGGCACATCATTTTGTTGCTGTTGGTGTTGTTGTTGCTGGTGGTGCTGCTAAGTGTTATTATTATTGCAGCAGACTGGCGACGTCAGCTACGTCATTGTTGCACGTTTTTGCAATATACGAGAATATAATTCTAAACAATAATGCATATACATATTTATATATCTATATAATATACTAAATGCAAAAGACAATGTGAGTGTATTATTTCTGCGGATTTTTATTTGTAAAACTACCTGTCAGAAGAAAAACAACAACAAACACACACAAACAAGACGCTGACGTCGTAGGTTTCTAAAAAAGTTTGACTGCAGTCAGGTGTGTGCGTATGTACGTATATGTTTATGTACTTATGCATGAATGGCCCAACCTTGCTTCTCGCCTGTCGTTCCCTATCTATCTTTCTCTTTCCCACTTGCGGCTCAGTCAATTGTTTCTGTTTCCTGTTGGCTTCAACTTGTTGCCTAGCCAAAGCTTTTTCGAACGCCTGTTGCGCTTATACGCCTGTCCAAGGCAGAGCTTAAGAACTTTATTAAACGATTTGCTACGAAGTGTGAAGCTTGGAAAATTCTCTTAGAAATAAAATATTTTTCTAACACTTATAAAAGTAATATATATTATTTTAAATTTGTAGCACTAGAGTGATTGAGTTAAACAATAAAATCTATTTGATTATTAGGAAAGTCTAATATTTGTCTATTGTCTAGGGTATTTAGACTTTGTCTCGCTCAATAGATTTATTTTTAAATTTCTTTTTTTGGTTTCGACCTTTTCATGTGCCAGCTGCCTGTCATATCATGCACACTGCCAAAGCTAATAGGATATTTACACAATTGCTGCCTGGTCGGTCGATTGAGCTGCCTGTCTGTCCGGCTGTCCGGCTGCCCGGTTGCCTGCCTGTGACAATAGTTAGGCATAAACCTTCTGTTGGCGAATATCAATAAGTGCAAAAAGAATGCAAAAATTGCCCGCTTTTGTTGGGCTAGACAGGCGAAATGGCAACTGAGCAGAGACGGCTGTCTGGAATACAAGTAAAAAAAAAGAAGGGACAGAGACTGAGACAGAGACGGAGACAGAGAAGCAGTTTATAACAAAAGCCGCATTGTCCAATGCATTAACAAGAGGCGACGTGGACGTCTGTTTGGGTCTATTGCAATATCGACTGATGTTCACTTCCTGATTATTACATTATGTAGTCAGTCACGGACTGCACAGAATTGTTTTGTTTTGTTTTGTTCGATTTTGTTGTCGTCTTTTCTCTTCTCTTCACTGTTCTGTGTGCTAAAGTCGTCATAGTTGTTGTCTTAAAGGGCTTTGCCAATCGCAGCAACAAATAATAATAATAAGAAAAAATAAATAAATAATATATAAAAAACTGCTACCTCAGAGTTTCCATTTGGCCACGCTGCATAAATAAACTTAAACTGCCGCCAGAGTCAGTCAGTCAGTCAGTCGCACAATATAAACATCACACAATGCCCAATGCCCAAACAAACCCAATAAAAGT